TATATATATGTAAATTTTTGCTGGCTTTTCCTGTTGCTGTTGACCTTGCTCATCCAGAAGAGGAGTTTATTTTATTAACTTAATTGAAAATCAACAATTACATATCATATTAATAATTGTAGGCAAATACTGAAATGTGAAAGATATAAGATGTAGATGGTGAGAATTTTAGAGAAATATTTCTGAAATGAATACATAGCATGAGATTAATAGATTGTACATTGTAAATAAATTATTTACAAACTTAAAGGAATATAACAATAAAAATTGTCCAAAATAAAAATGATGAAAGAATTTACAGATAGTGATCATAGTTCACTCTGTGTTAAAATCAATAAACATATTCATATATTTAGAATTCTCAAAGTAGAAAGAGGTAGGCAATAAATATTTAAAGATTTAAAATTTCTGAATTTAGTTGAACTTATAACACTACATTTCTAAGAAAAATGAACATTTTGTACAAGAAATTTGAATAAAACCATACCAAGATGCACAAAAATGAAATTGTCTAAAATTTGTTATAAAGAAAAAAATAATTAAAGCATATACATAAAAGTTATTAGCTGTGGAAGAACAAAATTAAATAGCATCTTATTCCACATTAGAAAGAATAAAAAGACCAAGAATGTATGAAACTAGACTAATTAAAGTACTGAAAGAAAAAAAAGATCTGTCCTCTTTGAATTTTATACTTAGCAAACATCCTTTTGAAAACTAAAAGTAAAATATTTTCCAGTTATACAAACTTGAAATATTCTAATACCTCCAGATGTAACATACAAGAAATAACAAAGAACATAATTCAGAAGGCAAGAGAAGTTGCTATATGGTCCTAGATAAAAAATAAAGAGCTCTCAAAATGATAGTTATGCAGGATTATGTAAAATATATTAGATAGAGGCTGGGAAGATGGCTCAGTAGAATAAGCACTTCCCTGGCAAGTGCAAAGGCCTGAGTTCAATCCCTGGTTCTGCTCCCACCCAAAAAGAAAGAAAATATACTAGATGAACCCATTTAAAAGGTCATTAGGGGCCAGAGAGATGGCTCAGCAGAAAAAACACTTCTTTGGCAAGTGCAAGGGCCTGTGTTCAATCCCTGATTCTCTTATTCTCCTTTGTTTAATTGTTTGCCCTATTTGGTGGGTCCTTTCCATTCTCATTCATGGAGTTGTAGTCATTTTGCTCCCTCTCTAGA